AAGTTTTGGAGCTCATAATCCTCTCTCACACTGATATCCCTACAATTCAGTTATCAGAGCACTTCTTTCTGTCAGTATCACTAAGGTAACGCTCTAAGTTCCATTAAAAGATACGTGTTTTCCAAAAGGAATAAAGTGTTCTGCAGATTCAAATACGGTTTCAGGCTGAGCTGTTCTGTAGAGGTTATGTCAAAAAAGTCTACAGGGTACTGAAACAAATGTTTTCATGCCACAGATTTTTAAATAGAAGCTTCATCTTGCTGGATGGCCAGGAGGCATTCACACCTCAACTTAACTATCTTAATAAGACACATTGTTTTTTCTCCAAAGCCATCTAGCTCTTTCCACAGAGGGAAACCAATTTTGTTCTCTGACTCACAAAAATAGTTGAATGACTACCAGAGATGTTGGAAACAGCTTTCTCAGGACTTGATACTGAGACCACAAGACTCATCCAGAATTACTTGAGATTGTAACAGGACCTGGACAGAATTTGAGCAAGGACTGGAAAAAAGGATCCTCTATTTTCCATAACTATGCTAATCATCACACAAAGAGATTTGTTCACTACACTTTGCCTGTGTCTGTGTTTGCATGTGTTGTCTGTCTTCTTTTCCCCACTGTAAATCTTGAATTATTTTCTGAAAAAATAGCACAGCTTCACTAAAGGGGATGTCAGGGAAGAAGAATGATGAAAATATCTTCCTGATAGTAGAATCTATTAGGAATCAATCAGTTTCTATCACTTGAAATTTTGTACAGTCAAATAGATGAAGCACTGAAAGCACATGGTCAGGAAAAGGAAATGGATTGTTTAATAGATCTTTTCTATCTTTAATTTCTGTGATTCAATAATATGAGACACTATCAAATCCATATACTAGGCTTTATTTAAATCACTGTAGTTGTAAGGTTGATTGTTCCTCATTTGTATGTCCTTGTAAATGTGAAGGCAAGATAATATTTTACATGTTTAATCTTCCTCTAGCAATACCATCCTGTCAAGGCTATTATTCCAATATAATCAGCTCATAACATCAGTATTTCCTTCTTCATAAACATACAAGTACATGATAAAAGGCATTTCAGTTCTTTGAGGTGTCTTTGCCATCCTTATAAGATATAATAACAGTTTTCAATGGTGTGTAGAGGTGTTTGTAAATCATTACTGCATACAACTGAAAGGTGTTCATTTGTTGCAAGGCTCTCCAACTTGGCAGACTGCAAGACATCCAAAGAAACAAAGATCTTAATCTGAAACTTAGCTATGACACTGAGATCGTGATGACTTTTGTGTCACAGAAATTAGTTTTACGATAGCATTATTTCTCCCATTGCAAATTTTTTTGTTTTCATCCAACAACCTTTTTAGCCTACCTTCACTTAGACTGTAAAGACAGTATCCAGACTCAGCAATGCACTGAAATCATTTGGTTGAAATTAGCTGTCAAAATTACCTGTAAAATCTCAAGAGTCAGAAACTCCACCCTTTCTGTTATCATTCTTTCCCTGGGAAGATTCTGCACTTGAAGCAGAGACTTGAACTTCTATCACTATCAGAAAGATTCTTGTAAAGCATTGTGCAAGAAATATTTATGATTTTATAAAGCATAGCTGTAGTTTCTGTGTAAGTATCTACATAAATGCTACTGTTTGCAAAACAGTGTTGGAAAAACGTCAAGGGGATCTGGATGCAAATGAACATCACAAAACACACTGTTGTTTGTACAGTTTTAAGTCAGAGCATAACAATTTTTTATATCAACTGTCAAAGCAATGTATATCACTGAATTACAGATTTCATTAAAATTTTCTTCCTTTTCTCTACTATCTAAAAATTTGATATTTTGCCAGTTTAAATAGCTGTAGTGCCTTCAGCTGTACATTAGACAGTGAACATCCTACCATTCCTAGAAACCTTTTGATGGAAAAGCATAATCTGATCCATCTTGCATATTGAATTTTGTTTGCATACTGGAATCTAGGTGGAAGATTAGATTTGAAACAACATCCTTTATGAATATTGATTGAAAATTTCATTCATATACTGCATTCTGAGATACAAAAATGCATTTTATGAACAACTGAATGCAAAAGAATAGCAAGGAAAGTGGAAGGCTTCACATATAAAGAGTTCTATAGTAGCTGAATGGTGGCATTTCTGAACTAGCACAATAAAAGGAAAAAAGCCACTGGCTCTCCTCACTAGTACATTAAAAGATAATACATTCAGACCACGTCTTCTGCTATACTTCACATCTTTCTATGAGCATTTAGTGCTCTCAAGGCAAAGTTTATTTTTGATTTAGGATGATTTGGGGGTTTTAAATACTGTTTAAACTGTGTGTTCATAATTACTTTATTGTCAGTTAGCTAAACCAGCACAGTTCCTGTGAAACTGGGAATTCAGGGAGACGCATTCTGGTGACTTTCATTCTGTCCAGTACTTAGATGAACTCATCACAGCTGACTGTTGTGAATCAATAGTGAAATAAACTGGAAAGACCCAGATGCACAATATATTCCAGATAATGTATTGTATTTGGGCTCCTAAATGATCTTGAAATTTAAGGCATATGAAGAAATCCTACTTAATCAGTAACAAATTCTTAAAACATGCAAAGAATTATTGGGATGCTCTGAAATCCAAACCTGTTAAATGATTTTCATGTTGCCTAACATTAAGGGCTCCCTATTTACTTGCCTTTCTAGAAATCTACCCTCCCAGCAATTCCTGCCTCCACATGGACACTTGGTGCAGAAACCAGAACTTGTGTGTTCTGAGTCACCCTCCACACAAGGATATCTCTCTCAATTACCAAAATTAGATAAAAGGAAAAGTAGGCATCTAACCTGAAACTGTAAATAATATAGTCCAAACACCCTCCCTTCGCCTGCACTCACACTCACAGTCCTGCCACCATATTACCTACAAGGGTGTCCGAAGTATTTTAATTCCACAGGCAGAGTAAATTTTGCCATCTCTTTGAAAGGTGTAAAGGAATAGACAGTCTTCATTAATACACTTTAGTGTATTTGCTTAAAAACTCTTTCAGCAAAGCATCTCAAAATAATAATTTGCTGATTGCAGCTATGTCAGCGATGCCAATAATTCACATTTTTGAATAAGTGAATTATTTCAATAAGGATGATTTTCCTAACGTGAAAACCCCTTTGGAATAAACACAATGGAGACAGGTGCAAACCTGACACATGACTACATTAAAAAAAAACAAACAAACAAACCAAAACTCTGTTCCTTAGCAGGTGATAAATGTCTCAGGAGGATTCTATGATAAAACAGGTAAAGCAGGACTATAAACAAGAGACCAATAAAAAGTGACATTGGTGTAATTAAGAGAGGTGGAAATCCTTTCAACCCTATGAATAAATATAAATACAATGCCTAGCTCTGACGGCAAAATGACATAAATCTTGTAAAAACTATCCAGCAGAAACTGCTAAGTGGGCAAACTCATTATTCCTCTTGGTACTGTTACTTAGATTGCTGTGTCACAATGAGTCAGTCAATTATGCAGTAACTTTCACAAAGGGTATTCATCTCAATTATCTCTCTGCCTCATTTCCCAAATTTTGCAGTTTTGCCATTTTCTCATGTCATACTCCTTTTGTATGGATCCTGTGATTCTAGTTTTTGCTCTTGGATATCCTTCATCTCCAAAGATTTCAGTCTCAAAATTCTGGGAAACTCTGATATGTCACATTCAAGTGTGAAAATACATCCCGTTAATTCACATAATGCAAAGAATCTGGGATTGAGTTATAGCTAGTGAAAGCAATTTTCTTTTAAGCATAAGCTTGGTTTTTACTTACATACCTTCTTTTTTATTTGATTTCCTATCATAATGTAGAACTGTATATTTTCTCTTTCAAAAAGCATTACTTCATTTTACATACACAACAGAAATATGTGATGAAGACAGTAATCATATGACAATTTGTAGTGATCTTTTCTGGCTGTTTTTCTGCTTTCTTCTTTGGCATACTAACAGTCACTGATGTATATAGTATGAACTCTAACGTGGTTATACACTTATTAATCTCTTTTCATACAACAGTAATTCATCAATAATTTTTGCATCTTTGCACTTCTCTATCAAGTTGAAAATATTACAATGCTATAAAAGATCCTGTTTTATTTTCCTGTCCATGTGAAACACTTAAGATGATCAATCTCTTCAGTTTTCAGGGATGAGTGCATGCATTTCTGGATAACCGGAATGTCAAATTGTGAGGTTTCATATGTTGTCTAAAGGCACGGTTCACAAAGTATGCCATTTTTAGGAAGTTTTCCCTGAATAGAAACTCCCAAATTTGACCTTCATTTTACTTAACTAGAGTGAATACACAATTTGTACAAGAAACTTCATATGCCATCTTATGAGTGTTCTTTGATTGATTTGTCTGCTCTGCTTGATTTTGTATTCCCTTTTACACGTGGCATATTTTTTTTCTAATGCATTCCTAGCAGTCCTACATAAATGTTAATCCCAGTAAGTGTCTAAAGAAATCTTCCAAATCTGTTGTTTCAGTGGATTTTAAATTTAGCTATATTGGCTCAAAATGTGAAGAAAATTTGTTGATTTCATTGCTGACAATGATTCATGGCAATCCAGTTCAGTGAATGAATGGCCTGGGTCACCTGTTCAGGTTGTAAACTGAAACAATTACATCAAATTCAACATTTTATAAGAATGGCCTCATGTTACACGGTACTTCCAAAGCTGGAGCTTACCTCCACTTAAAGTAGAAGATTATATTAATTAAAACCAACACAATCAAGAACAAAATGGACTTAGTAAGTGTTTTTTCTGACATAACCCACTTGTCTGCTGAGATGGCAAATTCACTGCAAAAACAATTTTGGTAGCATTCTTCTGCTTATCCAATGCCACAAAAATGAAGAAATTCTCCATCAAAATGTGCAAAGTTTAAGTATTTTTATAACAGCTATTAAAAGGAAAAACTATTTTACTTACCAAGCCAACTTCTGTTTAAATATACTGACACAAACACTGGAGGGACCGTGAAGAAATCTACTACCGAGTTAACTTCTAGCCAAAACCACAGCTTGTCATTGGCTGCTATGAACTGAGGGAGACAAAAAAAAAAAAAAAAGAGGGAGGGAATGAAAGATCAGATTATGCTCATGGTGGTTGCAAGTATGTGCAATATTTTCCATTCTAAAATATTAAACTCCAAAGTTAATGGAGAAGTAACTGATGTTTCAGATCATTCTAGACAAAACCACACGTCTCACTGGAAAGAAGTCTGTATTGTGCATTGCTTGATAACCACATTTAGAATGAAATGAAAGGTCTAACCAAAGAGATCATTTATATGAGGAATTGTAATATCTGTGCTAAAAACCATTTTCTCCACATTTATTAACAATGTGTCAGTAATATTAGAAAAGTGTAGGTAAGTGTAAAATATTTCAAAGTGTATCACCTTTGCTCTAGCACACCAAAAGTGTTGGTAGTAGTGTCATCGTGTATTTGGTGTTCATAGGTTTCACAATACATGATAGTTTACAGAGTCCCATTATCATCCTATCCAATCACCAGTATGACTCCTACAAGGCATAATTCAGGACTGCAACAGGTCATTTCTCTTTCCTGTCTAAGAATCCAGTTTAGGGAATCTGGCAAACTTAGATGCCAAGGACATCATAGTTTGAACTTGCCTATTCATCTGTTTACTTTAATAAGGTCAAACTACTATTCACATTCAATTAATAATTAAAGCATACGATTTATACAAATATGAAATATAAACATACAAATAAATATAAAATTTTAGTGCATCATGAAGATATTTAATGGAGCAGTTTTACTCATGTAAGTCTTAAAGTTGGACTAACATATTTCAAAATTTTGTGTTTGTATTTTTTGAATTACGGACAATATCCATCACCTTTCTTCCAGACAATATCCATCGTCTTTCTTCCAAAGCAAATACTGACATTCTCTAACTATTTCCTCTACTTAATCTCCCGGGTTTAGAATAACTTTAAATCTTTAACAGAAAATGTCTATGGTGGAACTTCCAACTTTGCTGGAATCCCAGATAAAATATTGGAAAGGGGACTCTACTGATGTGAAGAATGTTGAAATTATACTTAAAAAAGACAACAGACAACATGAGCAGCATGCGCCTCAGAGAAGACTCAAAATCAAAAATAAATTGACATTTTGTTAGTCCGTATTACTCAATATCAATGCATGAAAACTGAATAAAAATACACAGTTTCAGCAGAAGCTTTCAATTCCCTTCTGTTGAATTTAAAAGTAGTCAGAATATTTGGAATGAAAAATCTTTTTAAGATGTCAGATCAATATTTTCATAACCTGCAATATATGTTTTAATCAGCATTTTATCAGGACACAACCTTTAGGCTTTCCAAAAGGTTGAAGTGTGTTATTCAACAATGAAAACAAAGTCTGTTGACTTTAAAGGCCATTCATACTTTTCTGTGGAAGTATTTAAACAGTCATTCATTTAGGTAATTAGCAACTAATAAAAGCCCATTTCATTACAGAAGCAATCCTACCATGCTTGATGAGATACCACATTCGTCTAGAAGCACTAGCATAATTCTGTCACTTCCAAAGAAGGATTACTTCCATACTTGCCATATCTCTGTGAGACCCTATTGCTTGATTGTGTGCTAACTCATACAATTTGGGCTTAGTCTTCATCAGCAGTTTGCAGGCTTCACTTCTGAGTTCTCACATAGTTGGATACTAGCCAACAAAGATTTTAAAATAGATATATGTGTGTTTGAACACAACTATCTTCTAGAACTGAAGATATGGTAATATTTATATGATTTTGAGTTGCAACATCATTTCAGGGAGAACAGATGGAGAAGGCTAAGATTTTAAAATATTTCTTCAAATACTTTAATTTGCCGGTGAGTCCTCACAGAAGATATTTATTAGAAAAAAAAAAAAAATAGCTAAAGGTATGAGATGCTTCTTACACAAGTAACAAATTCATTATCAATCCAATTCTTACATCCACACAATCAAGTATCACCTTTTCCTCAGGAACTCCTG